TTGTGACCTGGTCATAAAAAGAAACAAGGTTAGTCAGGCAGGATCTTCCTGCTATGAATCCATGCAATTCCTGTATTCTTTGGGATCACAATTTCCCACTGATCATAGGAAATACTTTCCACACAAGAAGAATCACACCCCAGATTAATCCTGCACCACCCAAGCAGTTAGATAGATATGGGTATATACAGCCAGCATATATGCCATTCAGGATAGCAGCATTGAAATGGTTTTGAATGTGCCGCTATAACTTTTAGAAAACTCAAATCCAGACCAGAATTTTAAACGCGAGTAGTCTGATCTCAGCATTTCCCCAAACTGCACCAGTTGAAAATAAGATGCCTTTACTGTGTGTATAACTACTGCTAAGGGTATTTAGTGTTTTGCTAAGCATCAGCTCAAATCCCAGAACGGCTGAAGGAATTGGCTGCAAGATCAGACATGCAGCAATGGCAATAACTAATGTACGGGATATGTTTACAAAGCAAACATGCCAAAATGGCAAAAGGAAACAAACCCAAAGGGACACCGATTGTCATTAGGAAAACGACAGCCTCCCCCCATCACTTTGTCAGAGGGAGGGAGGGGAAAGCATGGTCCTGCCCAGCATGCAAAAGCCACCATAGAAAGTTGATGCAAATCCAAGTTAGCAACATGTTCTCTCTGACATATAGTTGTATAAGTGGGAAATTAGCCATCGGCATGAGCTTCTTTCACAGGTAATTAAAAATACTCCAAAAGCCGATATTTGCTTTAGACTCATCACATTCTAAATACCATAGGTGCTGGGATTTTGCTGACTGCCTCGATCAGACTTCTTTGCTTCAGCACTTTTCGAGTTTTAATAAACCTGCTAATTGTACCGACGGGCCAGTAGGGCAGCACGTCTAGCAGTCCACATTTCAGCAGGTTTATAAGATAGATTCAAAGATGCAGAGAGCAGCAGTAAACCTCAGCTGATGGAGACCCCCCGAGTTGCCAGGGAAAAAGGCATCAAAACACTAGCTCTCACCAGACAGATGGCACATAATTTTACTGGGCCACTGCCCCAGGGTTCAGAATAGCCGACTCATTGGTACCCACCTGCCATCTGGTATGGTATGTGCCTAGCCCTGATCCAGTCCTCAGCCACCCGGTTTAGTCAGAGGCACAACTCAAGCTGTTAGTGAAGTCAAGCTCTGAGAATCAAGACTCATGACTTCTAGTCCCAGCTGTGCTACTAATGCTGTTGTCCGTCTGCATCACAGACCCCTGATTTGCAAAGATGAGATAATAATCCATCCCTGGCAGGATGCCATCAGGCTAACTTCATGGTTTGTCACCAGCTTTGAGATTACTGGGCAAAAGGTCTGGGACTGCAACTCAGCAAATGCAGTAAGGAACTTGCTTGATTTCTCTGCTGTCCAGCTCTTCGCTATAAGAATATTAAAGATCCCCCGTGCTATGATACAAGGGGGCATGTTCTGAGGTCATTAGCGTGACCAGCAGAGCGTGACCAACTCACACCGAGGTTGGCTTTCTTCTAGGCCCACCAGATTCACTTGCATTAGCACTAATAGGATGATATAGAAAATAAAAAGCATAATTACATCTACTGCTCTGGCTGCAAAGGGAGGGAATAGACCCCCCTCCTTTAAATGTGTGGGGGCTAAGCTTCCCAAGGGTGCAGTTCACACAGTAACATTTTGACCTCAAGCAATAAACATTTGCAATCATGTAACAAGGTGACAGAGTCTCTGAGCAGTCGAAGCCTCCTGTATTCAAGTCTAATTCTTATTTGTTCCCAGCTTGAGTGGGCGCAGAGACGGGGCAGTACATGTCTTGTGCACATTTTGAGGCAAGATTATGGTGCAAGCCGTGAACTCAGACTGGCATTCCTGACACAAGGCTACCCCAGCTAAGCCACCAGCAATCCCTGGTGTCTCATGGTAGCGCTCTATTACCATCAGTCAGCACAAGAATAGTCTTGGGCTTGTTGGAGCTCGCTGGGGCTATACGTCAGCTGTCACATATTAGCCTGCTGGTCGGGGACTGCCATTGACAAAACTTTAAGATACTTGTGGATACATAAACCTCCATATGTATCCACAAGTATCTTAAAGTTTTGTCAATAGCATACTTGCTAGGGTCATTTATCAGAAATGACTCCAAATCCAAGGGATCTTGAATACAGAAGCTGATACTGCTGAAGCTGAAAAACTAGCCTGGTATCTGAGAGAAAATTTCTGACTCCATGAGGCGGCAATGACTTACGTGATCTATTTATTCAGCATAGGTCAACACTGCCCCCACAGTGGGACTGGGTATGCCAAGACAAACCCTGCCGTCTTGCACTCAGCTGGACCCACACATTTGTGGAACAGACAACTCAGTGAAGCCGTCAACCCAGGCCCTGACAGTCTCACACAGAAGGTGTATTGACACACCTGTAAGAGCTATGCAGAAGCACACGGTACTAGCATTAATTACATTTATCTCACTCTTTGAATACTCTTTAGATAAGGTACCAGCAAGACCATCTGCCGCTCTCAATTCTCTCCTAACACTTGAAAGCTAAGGGCATTTTTACACATTATGATTGTCACCACGTACACGTGACAAAAGTTTCCTTTGTCTGGATTAATAGCATCACACATTACACGTGTGCAAGGTTTGGGGGTTTCAAATACGTTTGCAGTGTTGCAAACTAAACCACAGCCCCATGTAGTTTTGTTTGCAATGTTGCTATTTGTACGGTTGCAGCCTTTTATCTGACAGCTCACGTTCCCGTTCCGGTCCCGCCCTCCAGCCATGGGTGAGGTGGGCAGGCTTTGCTGAAAAAAAGCAGTGGGACCCTTGCCACTTCTCCCTTTAGCAGGTGCCTGGCAGCCACAGGCACCTACTGAAGGCAGAAGTGGCGAGGGGCTCGATCCTTTTTTTCTTTCAGAGCCTGCCCGCCCAGCAGGCCAAGCAGCCCCTGAGCTGCAGGGGACCCCGGTCCTTCCCTCTGTGGTGGTGGAGGCCCCTAGGGACATCCAGGCAGGCTGCTAGCAGACAGGGTGCTGCCTCAGCTTGAAGGCAGCACCCAACTGGATTCAACTCTTCCCCATGCCCACCGGGGCTTCCAGTGTCCCATGCACTGTCCCCACCACCTTCCCGCTGCTTGGGACCACCCAGAAAGGGGCTGACTTGCCCCTGGGGCAGTTTGGGGAGGTGGCAGGAGGGCGGCTGGGTGTGCTGACGGGTGGAAAAGACAGTGGGGACAGTGCACAAGGCTCTGGAAGCCCACCAAGCCGCAGCTTCCCTGAGTCTGCCCAGGCTTCCAGCACCCCATGCATATCCCTGGCACCTTCTCCAGCTGCCAGCACACCCAGCCACCCTCCTACTACTTACCCGTGCTGCCCCAGGGGCAAGCCAGCCTGTCCCCGGGTGATCCCAGGCAGCAGGAAAGTGGTGGGTCCAGTGCAGGGGGTGCTGGAAGTCCCAGTGGGCTCAGAAAAGAGTTGGATCCACCAGGTGCTGCTTCCAAGCTGAGGCAGCACCCGGCCCTCTCGCCGCCCACCCGGGTGACCCCAGGGTGCACTGCCACTGCAAAGGGAAGGACTAGACCCCCCTGCAGTTCAGGGGCCACTTGGCCTGCCGTCAACTCACCCCACAGCTGCAGACAGTCTCCACCGGAAAAAAAAAAGGATCAGGCCCCTCACTGTAACAGTAACAGAAGCCTCTACATTGAAATAGTGGGTTTCAATGAAAAGCCATAGAATAGAATAAAAGCCCAAGGGCTAAAACCCTGTCACATGTACAAGCACCCTATAGGGACAGTTGTTTACTCACTGTTTCTGTTTTTTTCCCATTTGGTGAACAATCTGGAAGTGTTAAAATAAAAGCAAACAAATTCATTTGGTCTGCTATTGGCTAAATTAAAAAGTGTGGAAAAAAGATCATTTGAAGCTGAACAAAATGTTTGGAACTTGATTATGTTAGGGTTTTTTTCTAAAGTTGAATTTCTAAATGAAATATCAAGCTTTTTAGTCATTTTTAAATTTTATTCTGAAATTGCCTTAAAACATGTTTTGACTTTGGCCTTTTTTTCAGTATTTTCTCCCATTTTTTTCCAACTAAAATGACTCACTAAATTCATGAACGGTGCCAGTTGATCCAAAATTCCAGCAAATAAAATATGCATCTGAAAAAATGTTGTCCAGAGCTATTCTCCGTGGAGTGGGAGGATGGCCATTCACATCTAAGGACCAGCCAGCTTCACTCTCTTCAAAAATTATGGGTAACACCTTTCTGAGCAACACTACAAACCTTTCCATTCCTTTGTGAATTTGTATTTTGTAGGGCTCATGTACTGTGAGTGGATGACTACTTACAAAGTTTTTCAGTGTCACTTTGATTGGGCACTGGAGCTTTGTTGGTCTTTGAAGATGTTTCTAGGTTTGCTAGTTGCTAGAACTGGTTGAAACGTTTCAAATTTTGTTAAGATTTTGAAAGATTTTGTTTTAAAATAAGAGGCGAGAATTGTCAACAAAATATTTGCAAAATGTGATCAAAAGGAAATATTTGCAAAACTTGAATAATGAAAAAATATGTTCCCCAAAATCTCTCTCTCTCTCTCTCTCTGTGTTCCCTTTTTAGGTAAGAGGCCTCACTTATTATTTCTGAGAGGCACAGAGAAGATGTTGAGCTTGCATAATTTTAAAAAATAGCATTTTCATTAGAGTTATTCTATGAATGAATGAACAAATGAATGAACGAATGAACAAACAAACAACTGCCCAACTGTACTGGGAGCCAGTAGAAGAGGTTCAAGGACCTCTATACAAGGTCTAGTCACTAGAACATTGTAAGAAGTTTTCTTGCGGTACCGATGCTTCCATTTATCTCAAGTTTGGTTACATCTTCCCAGTGAATCCTGAGCACTGAGTTAGAAGTGTCCTTCTGGCTTTTCAAAATACATGCACATTCTGGATGGCTTTATATTACCCTTTTTAAAGCACACCTATCCTCTCTTCCAGGTCCTGAGCAACGAGAACACATTGACACTAAAGTCTGTCCGTCAAGAGGATGCTGGGAAGTATGTCTGCCGAGCAGTGGTTCCACGGGTGGGCGCAGGAGAACGGGAGGTGACTCTGACTGTCAACGGTACCTCATATTTCTCTTTAGTTTTTCTGTCCTGGTATAGTGAAATAGCTTCATTGGTTTGGCTCTGTTGTACAGACAGCTCATGATGGGAAAGTGCTGGTTTATCTATTTACCAGTAGATAATTATTCTGGAGGTAATTCCTATCTTCAGATGGACTTAAGTGGTTCCTATCTAGATCTTTTGCAGCCACCTTACCTCCTTTGGACACTGCACTGGTTGTTCCCCTAAGGGACAAATAGAGTCTCAACATTAGGGGACCATTATCAAGTTCCTGATTATAGATGGGTTAATACATGCCAAGTGAAATAAAACCCACCATGGACTTTCACTCTGAGATCCAACTGAACTTTTTTACTGATGTTTGAACCACTGTGATTCACATCCTTCATGGAATCATCACCTTCCTTGTGCTTCTTGGTTTGGTGGCTGCCCCCAGAACTACAGCTCACATCAGCCAATACAACAGAATAATGAATTCAGTTTTCACTACATAAACAGGCAGGCTGGGTTAATGCAACCTGCCCACTTTAAGTAGCAGATGATAAAACCATATAGCCCATCTCAAACATGTACATAGCTTAATCATCTTTATTTAAGCAGCTTGCTCCTGATTTGGGCTGTATTTCTCCATGCCAGCACTTTATAGTAGTTAAACTTAGTGGTAAATACCCTGACAGACTCAATCAATCAGTTGTTCACACTTTGTTAAGGACCAATTACAGTGACTACTCAAACCGCTATTTAATGTGTTGCTCCATAATGAGATTAGACTGGCTGAGTCTGCCGAAAGTGCCAGCATCCTTAGCACGATATAAACGATAACTTTGTCGTTGGTGTATATGCGAATTTCAGATGGCGAGCCCTATCTGCCCGGTATATTAATGGCTGCCAGTATTAAGCAGGGGTATTTTAAGTGCAGAGATGGTCTCCCAAGGCAGGCAAGATACAGCTCACAGGCCGAACCCAGCCTGTCAGGTACTTTCATCCAGCCCATGCTGCCCACCAACTAACTGTACCCCACCCAGCCCTTCTGCCCAAGAGGGTGGGAGCAAGGCACCCACATATGTACACCCTCCAACTCCAACATATCCTATTGTGCCTCACCTTGTGAGTGGTAGGATCTGGCCTGGCCAGCAAACAGCTTCCAGACAGAGCTGTTGCTGCCACAGCTGCAGCCATCAGGGACCTGCTTGGCTTCCCTGGCATCCCGCTTGCTCCAGGCAGCAGATAGGGAAGTGGTGGAGGCAGGGGTGGAGCTGCAGCTGGGCAGGAGCACAGAGCATGGGGCTGGCAGCAGTGCGGAGCCCTCACCTAGGGGGCAGCAAGCAGCACAGAGCTTGGGTGGGCAGGGTGTGGGTATGAGGGAAGGTGGGGAGTGACCCCCTCACACTACCCCTATGGCACACAGCCCTGGCAGGCAGCAGCAGCAGTAGGTGGAGGTGCTCAGGGTACTTGTGCCTGGCGCAGGCACTGGTGCCCAGTGGGGCATGTCTCCAGCTAGCACTGCACATGGCGGCAAGAAGCACAGCTGCCATGGGGCCTTCTCCATCACCAGTGCTCCCCACCATGCACGTGCAGCCCCCACACTTGTGCGGCACGAGAGGGAAGCCCCACATGCTGAAGGCAGCTGGTTCCAGTGCATAGGGTTTCCCTCCCATGCCATGCAAGTGTAGGGGCTGCACATGCGCGGCAGGGAGTGCCTGCAGTAAAGATGGCCTGGCAGGGGCTGCTCTCCTCACTGCCATGTGCAGCACTGGCCAGAGCCGCACCCTGCCAGGCACCAGCACCTGTGCTGGGCACAAGCACCCTGAGTGCCCCCACCTGCTACTGCACCATGGGAGGAGTGGGGGGGGTACCCACACACTCACCCTCCCTCACACCCCACAAATGCCACACACCCACACCTTATCCCCACATCCCCCACATATACACAATCCCCAGCATAACCCTATGCCTCCCACATACACAGCCTCTTTCTCCATTTTTTCCCCCCAAAACCCTCTCCCCTCCTCAGTCTATTCAACACATCTCTTCTATTCAGCTTGTCAGTCCAGGACCATACAGTAGGTTACTGCCTAAGCCATATCTTGCCCAGACGCAAACAACATCTCCAAACTGCATGAGTCGAAAGAAAATAATTAAGAGAGAATTAAAAGAGCACAATATGCGGTGTCTTGGTAACAAGGCATTT